TTGTGGCCCCATTTCTTCAGATTGGCTCTGCATCTCGTTGTTCCAGAGCGCAGTCTGTTCAGCGCCTTCCAAGTCGCCCAGTCTTCTGTGTGCCCAGAGGGGAGTCTCTCATTTGTTATCAGCCATGGATTGAGGTTCTGGGTTTGAGCCTGCCACTTTTGGACTCTTGCTTGCTGGGGTGTTCCAGCGAGTGTCTCTGTAGATCTTAGAAAACTATTTCTTGATTTAAGTTGTTGTAATGCAAAACAGCATGAAAAAATTACAATATTTAAAATGAATCATAGAATCATAGAGTTGGATGAGACCACATGGGCCATCCAGTCCAAGCCCCTGCCATGAAGGAGATGCACAATCGAGGCAGCCCCAACAGTTGACCATCCAGCCTCTGTTTAAAAGAGTCCAAGGAAGGAGGCTCCACCACAATCTGAGGCTGAGAGTTCCACTGCTGAACAGCTCCTGTGGTCAGGAAGTTCTTAATGTTCAGGTGGAATCTCCTTTTCTGGAACTTGAACTCCATTGGTCCTAGACTCCAGGGCAGCAGAAAACAAGCCTGCTCCCTCTTCCTTGTGACACCCTTTCACATATTTAAACATGGCATTCATGTCTCCTCTCAACCTTCTCTTCTGCAGGCTAAACATGCCCAGCTCTTTAGTGTCATTTTATGTGACCCTCTAGATGCTGGACTACAACTTCTGTATTTCTCATCATTAAACATCATGACTAGAGCTGATGGGAGTTGGTGATACAATAGCATCTCTGTTTCTTCTGCTTAGTCAGGACAGTGGGGTCTGAATTTCGATAGAAGGCTTGTGGATGTGATGTCTGACTTTAAAATGCCCTTTAACCTTTCCCCAACCTCAGAGCCACAAATGCTGCTGGGTTGCAATTTCCATCATCCCCAGTCTGCCTGGCAGATAATCAGAAGTGGGGAGAGTAACATCTGGGGACCTAAATGGGGCAAAAACTAAGGAGTACTATGTGATATATATATATATATATATATATATATATATATATATATATGTATGTATATATATCACATAGTACTCCTTAGTTTTTGCCCAATATATATATGGCTGCCCCACTGTACCTAGGGATTCTCCATCTAAAGATTCAACATCCCTTTGAAGGCGACCATAAGATTAAATGAAAATGAATTAAATATCCTAATGACAGAGTGGCTGCGGCATCCAGAAGAGATGCTGAGTTCTTTCTGCCTCCCGGTGCTGCTGTACATAGCTCCTGTCATTGTTAATAGTCTTAGGATGAAAGGATCAATTTGAGCCAAATTTATCTCAAGTATGCAGAGCTGATTAGAAGTCTCTTGGGCCCCCATGACATGTAAGAAGTGAAAGCATAGTCTATTCATGATGTAAAAGTGGCATTTCAGGCTTCTTTGCTCTTCCCAAAGACCATTACCAAAAGAGTCATTACAATGGACTTGTGTCTCTTGGCATCTGGTTCTAGCCACACATACGCCCATAGATGCAAAAAAATCAATGGATGCTAAAATCCTATTATATACAGTGATACCTCTTGTTGAACAACTCTTGTTGAACAACTCAAACAAGTGCCCCAGAATACCTAAGGCTGCAACAGGGAACGCCAACACATCAACAGAGTATGCCAACACAGTATTGGCAAGCAATAAGTCAAGGTTTGCTTTTGAGACGACGCAGAGATACTTCCTGCCAATTTTGGAGGGTGGCAGTCCAAGTTGTAAAGGTGCTCCACCATGGAGTTAATATAAAAGTTGAATAGTAGTGGAGCCAATGTGCATCCCTGCTTGACGCCTTTCTCCATTTCAACGGCCCTAGTGAGATGACCTTGAGGACTACATCTTATTTTCAATATGGTCCCTACATGTAGGATGTGAATTGATTGCAAAAGTCATCTATTGAAGTGGACCCAAGTTTTTCCCATAATTTGATATGGGAGATAGAGTCAAAAGCTGCTCTGAAGTCTATGAATGCAGCATAGAGGGAAGATGTTCTCTGGGAGGTATATTTTTCTATAAGATGTTGTAAAACTATGCACTGGTCAATGGTGGACCGACCTTCCCTGAAGCCGGCTTGCTCCTCCGCAAGTATGTTTTCTTGCTCCATCCAGTCCAGCAATTTCCAATACAGATGCCTTGTGTATATTTTACTAATGGTATTAAGGAGGCTAATGGGTCTATAATTTGCCAGATTGTCCTGCCTCCCTTTTCTTTTATATATTGGTACAATAATTGCCAACCCCCAGTCCTTAGGAATTCAGCCATATTTGTCAATACAGGTGAATAGAGATGCTAGGATAGGGGCCCAGAAATCCAAATTATTCTTGATGACCTCGGGTGGGATCGCATCCTCTCCTGGTGCCTTTCCCAATTTTAGTTGGACCAACCCCAACTAAAGTCTAACTAACTAAGTCTCTCTATTTCTGCGGTTGTCACAGGTGGCCAAGTAGGGAGGTTGTCCATTGATGTACTTGAACAAGCGTTTCTGCCCACATTGTCTGAATAGGTGTCCCCATATAGCTCTTGGAAATATACTTCCCAACTTGCTGGCGAAATTTGGGAGTCAACTGCAGTTCAGTCCCAGCTTCATATGTTAGATGTAATGCGCCAGAAGGTGGTTGCGTCCTTTGCTTTAACAGCTTGGATGAGCCAATCCCAATTGTTTTTCATAGCCTCTCTCTTCTTGCAAGTTAGTAGTTGTTTGTATTGTGTCTTTTGCAGCAGAAGATCTTCTGCAGTAGTTGGGGTGGAATTGAGTTTGTATCTCTGATAAACAGTGGAGAGGGCTTTTTTTAGCAGAGAGACATTCCTTATCAAACCATGTTTGTGATTGTTGATATGGTTGCCGAAGTAGCTGTGTCCTCTCTGTATCGCTTTGGCGTAACTGACTTTGGAGCTCTTGGACAATGTTTCTGTAGGTTTCCATAAGTACGTTGGTAGTTTCAGCTGAGATCAGAGAAGTGCGGAGGCTCGTAAGCCGCTCTGTCGCCATCAGGTCTGTTACTCGTTGATTCATTTGTGGGGTCCACTTGGCTCGCTTATAGGATCCTTCTGTAGGCTGTATAGAAGATTTATAGGATTCAGTTAAATTAATTTCCTGGGGGGGGGGGAGATATAATTGAAGCAGAACTGGAAAATGATCACTCTCAGGTTTAGACATGACTTTTAGAGCTTTAGCACAGGGAATAAGATCCCTAGAGATAGCTATATAGTCAATAGTGCTAGTTTTTTCACCTGAGAGGAAGGTGAATTCACCTGGATAATCTCCTATCAGGGCCCCATTTAAGATGTGAAGATTTAGCCTATATGTTGTTCTGGCTAAGCATAGGCCTGCAAAATTTGAACAGTGTAATTTCTCCAGTGGTGTAGGGCGCAGACACCCAGTGATAATGCAGCATGTCTCATTAAGAGCCACATCTGCCGTGTTAACCCATGGGTACTGTGGACGTAGATCACCAACTAGAATCTGTGTGTTGCTATCAGCATTTCTGCAGGGTAGGTTTACAGGTATACCCTACCATGAGTGTGTATATGGGATGGAGAGAGTGAAAACTGCCACTTCTATAAGGAAGTGAAAACTGCCACTTCAAAATGTCACTTCTATAAGTATATTCAATCTATTTTTATTGCTCCCTTTGTACAGAAGGCCCCGGGAGAAATGAAGAATATTGTCTAAAACATCTAGGATAGGGATCCATTGATCACTTAGAGCAGGGGTCCTCAGACTTTTTAAACAGAGGGCCAGGTCACAGTCCCTCAAACTGTTGGAGGGCTGGATTATAATTTGAAAAAAACATGAATGAATTCCTATGCACACTGCACATATGTTATTTGTAGGGCAAAAAACACCTAAAATAATACAATAAGTAAAATGAAGAACAATTTTAACAAATATAAACTTAGTAGTATTTCAATGGGAAATGTGGGCCTGCTTTTGGCTCATGAGATAGATTGTTGTTGTTGTTGCGTGCTTTCATGTGGTTTCAGACCTAGGTTGACCCTGAGTGAGGGCCAGGTAAATAACCTTGGAGGGCCGTATCCAACCCCCCGGGCCTTAGTTTGAGGACCCCTGACTTAGAGAGTGGCTACATTTAGAGCAATAGCGATACTAATAAGGAAGGAGTTTGTGGATAATTTTGGCGGATAAAGTTTCAATTTATTTTATTATCCATACCCACAGATCTTATAAGCGTCATTTATGATGCTGCTTTTAATGTTGTAAATTTCTGGTCTTAATTTTTTTAATCTCTCTTTTTAGTGTTTTAAGTTTACACTCCTGGCCTGTGACCATAATCATAACAGAAATCACCAACTAGTGGTATAATTTTAAAAGGTGGGTCTTGCAGTGTTGTGAGAACATTTTTTCCCAAAACAATAAATGTGCCATCCCCTTATGCAGGAATCTTGAATCTTACTGCCTTTCTCCATAGTTATTAATGTCCTGGTATTTCTGATTGTCAAACCTCTCGATGCATTTTTAAAATTGCACAGCAGAACCTTGTGCCACCCCTTTGTGCATGTGGAATATCACGAGCTGGCAGCAACATAACAGACCACATTTTTAGCAGCATGGATGTTGTAAATCCACATGCAACAGCAGCACCACAAACAGAAAGAATAGCTGCTCTCAAACTTCAAACAGTGCCTCATCTGGATGCAGCCATAACAGTTCCTCATCTGGATGCCTATACTTCTGGCAAGTGAACAGCACAGCTTCAAAACTTGAAATTCATGAAATCCGACATTAGGATGAAATCAGACCTTGGGACAAAACATTCTCTTGTCTATTTGGGGCATCTCACTTGCTGGCCTCGGTCTTGGGTCACTTCCAATCAACAGCATGCCCCATCTTTGTCTTTGAAATACAAATAGAAAGCAGTGTGTATTGAGGCTTCTGCAGATGGCAGAGAGGCTTTCATTTGTTGGTGTTGTCTAGCAATCCGAAGAAAGGGGTTATTGAAATGCACCACGGTAACACCCTTGTCATCGAAAACTCCTCCTACCAGCTCATTCCTGTTACTGAATTGATTCTCTACACACATGAATATCACAAACAAGGCAAGAGGCGACTCTCTGAATTCCCTCATCCCAGAGTCTAGACCTGTGGATCATTAACCGAGGCAAAATCAACTCAGAAGCTGGACTTCAATTCACACTTCCTTCCGTTCTAAGTGGATATTTAATCTGCAGCTTTATTGAAAAATCTGGTTAGAAAATTGGCTATGGCCCCAGGCAGATGGCCTGTTTTAGTGTTCACACTGCAACTACTTCTCATCTTTGCTGATGCAGGTAAGCAAAGTTCTGAAAGGAATCGGATGGTAAACATGGAGGGTCAGGATGAATCAAGTGGTAACTTCAATTGGTCAAAAAGCAGATAGAGATTTATATGCAGTTCCAGGAGTTAGCTTAATGCCTGTTTAGAGTAAACTGCTGGAAAACATCGTGAAAGATAAGTTATAAGTCGCAGAAGAACAGGAAAGGCGTTGCAGAAGAAAAGTCAACATGTTTTTTTGCAATGATCTCTTATCTGACCGTGCCATTTCTTTATGTATTGATAGGGAAGGCCTGTATGGTAGTGCAGAACTTTCCAGACTGTGTGTTGTGACATCAATATGTTGCACAAACTTAACAAGAAATGGCAAAAATCTTGAAAACATATGTTATCTTACAAATCATATATTTAAAAAATATAGATGCAAGGTGTTTCATGAGATGTGTTATGTCCCATACATTTTGCTATCACAAATTATTTATGTGGCCATATCTCTTATGAGGGATTACTTTAACCCCCAGATTGCCAGTACAGCTGAATGCTGTATCACAAAATGATTAATGTCTAAAAATATGTCACCAACATGAAATATCTAAAAAATTCTGGCATAGTGGTTTGAGCGTTGGACTACAACTCTCAGGATTCAAATCTGTGCTTAGCCATGCAAACCCACTATTTAGCCCTGAGCAAGCCATACTCTGAGACTCAAAGGAAGATAATTGCAACTTCCCTCCCCAACAAATCTTGTCAAGAACCCCCTGTGACTGGGTGCCATGATTCAGATACAACCACCTGAAGGCACAACAACAAGCACAAGGAATCATTTATTGCATCCCACCTCTTCATTAACTTGAGCATTTAGATCATTTTAGCGCACTAGGAGAATTTTACAAGCAGGCTCCATTCCTGGCAGCCGCTTTCAAGTAAGCTTTAGGAGCTAAATTTGGAATTAGGAGGTGGCCTCATACTATCCAGATTTCAATCAGGACAGCATGTAGCCACCCCCAAGAAAAAGTCCAGGGTTTGGCTTGTGGGTGGGGACTATAACCTGCACCGAAGCAGGTTACTTTAACCCGTTCTGGCATGGGTTTTAGCAATGTGCGCCCTTGACATCTGTCATCATATTGTTTTGCACTTCATATATACAGGGAAAGTAATCTTTGCTGTCCTGACATCTCTGAAGATTTTTTGTTGTTAGTTAGTTTGATTTTTTTATTACGAGACAGCTACCATTAGTGCTTTGATTGTGATTTTCCTGCATGGCAGAGAAACGTTCAAAAAGAACCTTAAAACCTGGCTCTTCCGCTGCACCTTTGGTGAGTAGGTGCACAACATGACACTATTGCTCCCCTCAACGCTTCTGCCACTGGAGTACGCGCCCTCCAAATGGGAAGTTTAGTTCCACTACCCTGTGTGTTTTTATGAGCTCCCTGCAAATAACCTACTACTATTTTTATCTCATTTAGAGTTTTGAATAATTTTATCCTGTACATGTGGCCCGCCCACTGTTATTGTGATTGTGTTTATTGGAATGTTTATTTTGTTACTGCGTTTATGCTTTTTTTCCTATGTAATTTTGATGATGATGCTTGTTGTTTATGTTCTGATTTTATTTTGCTGTAACATATTGTCCGGGCTTGGCCCCATGTAAGCCACTCGGAGTCCACACTGGGGAGATGGTGGCGGGGTATAAATAAAGATTATTACTATTCAGTTCTTGTGAGTTTTTTCGGGCTATATGGCCATGTTCTAGAGGCATTTCTCCTGACGTTTCGCCTGCATCTATGGCAGGCATCCTCAGAGGTGAGGTCTGCTGGAGCTGGGAAGAAAGGGGTTTATATATCTATATCTAATTATCTATATATATATTTGAGCTGTGGTGTTGGAGGAAAGTTCTGAGAGTGCCTTGGACTGCGAGAAGATCCAACCAGTCCATCCTCCAGGAAATAAAGCCCGACTGCTCACTGGAGGGAAAGATACTAGAGACAAAATTGAAGTACTTTGGTCACATCATGAGGAGACAGGAAAGCCTAGAGAAGACAATTATGCTGGGGAAAGTGGAAGGCAAAAGGAAGAGGGGCCGACCAAGGGCAAGATGGATGGATGGCATCCTTGAAGTGACTGGACTGACCTTGAGGGAGCTGGAGGTGGTAACGGCCGCCAGGGAGCTCTGGCGTGGGCTGGTCCATGAGGTCACGAAGAGTTGGAGACGACTGAACGAATGAACAACAACATATATATATAGAATTAAAAAATTCTAAAATTGCAACAGCAAAACAGCAGAGAGAAAAACAGGCAGGGACATCTAATCACCTTTCAAGAAGAGTTTGCTCCAGGCACAGTCAGCCCATTGTATGCTAATCAAGGTGGTCAGCTGAAAGATCCACACCCAGCCCAACTTACAAAAGCCCTTTATCTCACCCTGGTCTTTCCGCAGATATATAAACCCCTTTCTTCCCAGCTCCAGCAGACCTCACCTCTGAGGATGCCTGCCATAGATGCAGGCGAAACGTCAGGAGAAATGCCTCTAGAACATGGCCATATAGCCCGAAAAAACCCACAAGAACTGAGTGATTCCAGCCATGAAAGCCTTCGACAATTATTATTATTATTATTATTATTATTATTATTATTATTGGACTTGGTGGCCCTTGTGCTCTGTTCCAACTTTATGATTGAACAATAATACAAAGCACCATTACAAGACATATTATGAATTGGGGAGGGACCTGGAAGAAGTTGAGTTTATTTGGAAAGATTTGCTGTAATGTCAGAAGATGTTTTCACTGCACAGGTGTGATCATTGCTTTGTTGTTGGCAAAATTATTATGTCCCTTATAAAAATTATGGCGAGGTCCACAAATACAAAAGAATATGTATTTCATTGGAAAGATATACAGGGCTGCTTGAAAAGTCAATTGCAGATGATGAAAATTTGCTTTCCCTTTTCCTCCCGCACATGCTCATAAGGGACTGCCCCCCTCAAGCGGGTGCAGAAAGTTTTAAAGGCCAAAGTACAATAAAGTAAATTTGAATGGGGAGGAATTTCAAGGCAAAGCGCTTTAAACAAATACGGTGGCATGAACTGATTTTTTAAAATAATGCATAGATAATGTTTAATTTTTCTTTTGAACAATTAAACATACGTGAACACAAATGTATTAAAATAAGAATTAGAAGCCTGGACTTCAGAATTAACATGATACATACTCACGTATGCATCAAGAGCAAATTTGGGGTCCCAAATTATACATTTTGATATGACCTGCAGAGAGGGGAAAGCACCAGTACTGCCGCCATTGCCATTTTCCCAGCCAGGCATTGAAAAAGATGAGAAGAGAAGGCACAGCGGGGGAAACAGAGAATGGCAATATCTCTTTTCAGTTCTCCCGGGACAGACTAAGCTCTACCCCTTTTGCCATTCCAGTTGAAGAAGGGAACAGGTTAGGGTACAATACTTACACTGACTTGTGGGTACATTGACCCAGGTTTTGGGGCATGATCAGTATTTGACATACTCAGTAATATCCACTGTGAGATAGATAATACAAGGACGGAGTGATTTTGGCTGTGGTGAGAGATAGGATTGCCTCTAATTTTTCAAGAAGTTACAGACAGTAACTGGAGAAGAGAAACAATAAATTAACAATGTCTTTCTTTTCACTGCAGCTAAAGGAAAGGAAAGGAAAAAAAAGGAAAGGGGGATAACCAATGGGTAGAAACCCAACCTATCCCTTGACACACACATTTCTGGTAATACCCTAAAATTCTGGTGTAACCTAATTGGATCTGGTATCACTCCAGTTAAAACAGGTTCTATGTCAAATAAATACTGAACCACAGCTTTGGCCGTGGCCTTGCCCTAGTAGCCTATATCTTCCAGATTTTTATATTAGAACATATCAGAAAGAGATCTTTATACCTGAATTTCTCCTTAGGGTACCTCTGTACTGTAGAATTAATGCAGTTTGACACCATGTTAACTGCAATGGCTCATTGCTATGGCATCCTGGAAGTTGCAGTTTGGTGAGGTCCTGGCACTCTTTGGCAGAGAAGGATACAGACTTTAACAAACTACAGCGCCAATGATTCCATAACATTGAGCCATCACAATTGAAGGAGTGTCAAATTGTAGAGTGTATTTATTTATTTACAGTATTTATATTCCGCCCTTCTCACCCTGCAGGGGACTCAGGGCGAATTACAATGTACATATACATGGCAAACATTCAATGCCATAGACACATAACATATATAGACAGATACACAGAGCCTATTTAACATTCCAGCTTTTTTCATTATTTTTTTGGCCACCAGGGGAGCTGTCCCTTCACCGACCATTTGTGACACTTATGAAGTACTTCTCCATTCTTTGCATGCTTGCTGGAGATTTTTATGGTCTCATAAATCGTAAATTAGCATCCCCGCATAAGTGGTACCTGAATATCTGTTTCGACAGGCCTTTGATCTTTGATATTGCTGGTTTTAAATTGTTTTAAATTGTTTTTAAATTGTGTTAGATTTTAGCCTGTTCTTGTAAGCCGCTCCGAGCCCCAGGGGAGTGGCGGCATATAAGTTCGAAATAAAATAAAATAATAACATTTTTTAAAAATTCCTTCTCGACCAATGCAACTGTCTTTCGGGCTGCAAAGGTCAACAGCAAGCTACACAAATTCATCAGAAGCTCACTTCGACCCAGGCTGGCTTTGAACTCATGACCTTTTAGTCAGTTGTGATCTTAATGTAGCTGACTTCCAGCCAGCTGCACCACAGTCCCAGTCCCAGTGTACATATGTCCTTTGATACCAAGCAAAGGAAAAGGGCCCATCAGTTACCAGATTTTCTAAGCTTTAATTGACATATTGACTAGAAGGAAATAAAATCCCATCAGAAGAACAGAATTTTTTTGGTCATGTCAGGAGTGACTTGAGAAACTGCAAGTCGCTTCTGGTGTGAGAGAATTGGCCGTCTGCAAGGACATTACCCAGGGGACGCTGGGATGATTTGATGTTTTTATCATCCTTGTGGGAGGCTTCTCTTATGTCCCCGCATGAAGAGCTAGAGTTGATAGAGGGAGGAGCTCATCCGCCTCTCCCCAGATTCGAACCTGCGACCTTCAGTCCTGCCGGCACAGGGGTTTAACCCACTGCGCCACCGGGGGCTCCTAGAAGAACATATAATAATAATATAATAAAACTTTATATCCCGCCCTATCTCGCCTAGGGGATTCAGAGTGGTTTCTACATATGCAAAAATGCAAAAGACTTACAATGTGAAACATAGAATATATGCATAAACTATTAACACAACATATATATAAAGACCAATTTAAAAGCCAGTTCTGCTCTCTTCTTTTGTGCAAAGTAAGCTACTAGGGGCCAAAATTCCAATAAAGGGCCTCAGCTGTTGAGCGGGCTGGGCTGAAGCTAGGGCAGAGAAAAGGGAGGCATGGGGCCGACAGAATGCAAGAACTGCATTATACAAGAACTGGTCAAACTCTGTGGCACTGGAATGCATGCAGTCCTTGGCTTGAGCTGTCTAAAAACACAGATCTCAATGAATCCACCCTTTTGAAACTCTTTCCTGCCTTGGCACCTTAGAAATTTTCAAGAGGAATCTCAAAACCTGGCTTTTCTGATGTGCTTTTGGAGAGTAGCCATATTATCATACACAGTTGCTCCCCCTCAACGGTTTTTGTCCCCAGAGTATATTTTCCCACCTGTATGAAGGTCTATATTATTGACCCCGTTCCTTACGAGTTTCTCCCCCACAAACAATCTGCTCCATCCCTAGGTATCAGCCAGCACGTCAACGACTTAAATCTAGAAATAGTTTTCTAAGATCTACAGAGACACTCGCTGGAACACCTCAGCAAGCGAGAGTCCAAAAGTGGCAGGCTCAAACCCAGAACCTCAACCAATGGCTGATACCAAATGAGAGACTCCCCCCTGGGCACACAGAGGACTGGGCAACTTGGAAGGCGCTGAACAGACTGCGCTCTGGCACCACGAGATGCAGAGCCAACCTTCAGAAATGGGGCTAACAAAGTGGAATCCTCGACATGCGAGTGTGGAGAAGAGCAAACCACTGACCACCTGCTGCAATGCAACCTGAGCCCTGCCACATGCACAATGGAGGACCTTCTTGCAGCAACACCACGAAGCACTCCAAGTGGCCAGATACTGGTCAAAGGACATTTAATCAATTACCAAACTCACAATTTTTGTATTTTGTCTGTTTTTTTTCATTGTTCTGCTAGAAATGTAATATAATCGACTGGTTGCACTGATACGATAAATAAATAAATAAATCTCGTGCTGATTTTAGTATTTTTAATATCTTAGTTTTATCTTGCACATGCAGCCCGCTCATTGTTATGTTATTTTATTTTATTTTACTGTGTATGATTTTGCTTTATCGTTTTTGTACTCACATATTGTATGTATTTTACTGTGTTGTTGTGTTTTGGTTTTACTTTATTGTAATATGCTGTTGGGCTTGGCCTCATGTAAGCCGCCCCGAGTCCCCATTGGGGAGATGGTGGCGGGATATTAAATAAGATTATTGTTGTTGTTGTTGGCAGATAGAGTTGGCTCTTCTACATCTGAGCCTGAAGAGAAAAGTTATCTGAAAGCAGACACCCCACAGGAGTTTTCCTTTGAAAGCAGGTCCCTGCCCAGGTTGGTGGTGCTCTCCCTGTCAAAGCAGAAACCAATGCGTAGGAAGGCAAGGAGGTTTTGCCATCATGATGGCACCAATGCATCCAGGCATTGTAATTAAGTCTAGTTGTGTCCAATTCCAGGGGATGGTGCTCATCTCCATTTCTAAGCAGAAGAGTCAGCGGTGTCCGTAGATGCCTCCAAAGTCATCTGGCTGGCATGACTGCATGGAGTGCTGTTACGTTACTGCCTGAATGGTACCGATTGATCTACTCACATTTGCATGCTTTCAAACTGATAGGTTGGCAGAAGCTAGGGCTAACAGCAGGAGCTCACCCCGCTCCCAAAATTTGAACCGCTGGCCTTTCGGTCAGCAAGTTCAGCAGCTCAATGGTTTAACCCGCTGCACCATTAGAGGGCTCTGTAATTAAGATTAGGAATCACAACATCATCAAGTGGAGGGGTTTCAAAGGCTCAGCTAGTCTAACCCCAATTGAAAGAACAGGCTTACATATAAGAAAGCATACTTTTGCCCAAACAAGGTGGGGGCGGGGGATACCGAAGCAGTAAAATGTGCCTTGGACCTCTGATTCTGCAATCTTGATTATTCCCAGAATCTTGAGACAATAACCACTTCAAAATCCAAAAGCTTGAGAACTTTAACACCTCTCTATGTGCAGTAATATAAGCCATCCTGAAATACAAGCAATCAAAACTAATCTCTGTCTTCCAAAACACTCATAAATCATGTCTGGATATGTATATTCCATTGAATACATAACATCTGTATTTTCTTCTTTGGTTAAAATCTCATTTCAGAATCTGAAACTATCAAGGCAAGTGAAGGATGCACTGACTTCCAGCCTGCAAGTTTACTGAGGGGTACCAATCTCAAAGTGCAGTTTCTTCTATTCCCATCTTCAAACCCAAGATGTGGGCAACTGCTCTCAGTAAGGGAGGCTATCCAGAACTCCAGCTTCAACACCAGCTTGGGAACCAAAATAATCATCCACGGTTTCAGGTACAGTCACACAAAAGTAGACAATATTCTCTTGTACAAATCTATAGGACCAAAAGAAGGAGGACATTGGTGACAACTGAAATTAATGGGTTTGGCATATTTTAACCAAAATATGGAGCCAAACATGCTCTCCTGTATTTCTGTCACTGAATTTTTATATATTACTAGCTGTGCCCTGCCACGCGTTGCTGTGGCCTATAGTAAAACTTATCAAAGTTGAGGTAGATATCTGGACTATTATGAAAGAGAGGTCCCTACCTAGTCCTTCCCCCTTTCTCTCCTTTCTTCCTTCTCTACCTCTTTCATTCTTTCCTTCTTTCACTACTTGGTTTCATCCTTCTCTCTTTCCTTCATTCCCTCCCCCTTTCTTCTTTTGCCTTTCTTCCCTCCCCTTCCTTCCCCCTTTTCTTTACCTCCCTTTCTCTTTCTTCCTTCTTTCCTTCCTTCCTGTCTTTCCTAGATTTTGACAGGGCGGGAAGGGGCGGGGTGGGGTTTGGAGGTGGCGTGAAGTAAAAGGAGGTAAGATTGGGGCAGGGGAGTGATGGAGCGTGGGGTTGCGTGTGTGTGTGCGGCGGCGGGGGAGTGATGGAGCGTGGGGTTGCGTGTGTGTGTGCGGCGGCGGGGGGGGGGGGGGTGCGTGTGTGTGTGCGGCGGCGGGGGGAGTGGGGTTGCGTGTGTGCGTGCGGCGGGGGGGAGTGATGGAGCGTGGGGTTGCGTGTGTGTGTGCGGCGGCGGGGGGAGTGGGGTTGCGTGTGTGCGTGCGGCAGCGGGGGGAGGGATGGAGTGTGGGGTTGCGTGTGTGTGTGTGGCGGCGGGGGGAGTGGGGTTGCGTGTGTGTGTACGGCGGCGGGGGGAGTGATGGGGGTTGTGTGTGTGTGTGTGCGGCAGGGGGTGTGTGTGTGCGGGAAGCGGCGCGGCGGGGCTTGGAGTGGGCATGGCTTCCGCAGAGGGAACGTTGGCCGGAAGGCTGTGCGCGCGCCAGGGAACTTGCGGCTGGGCGCCAATGCGCATGCTCAGTTGTTTTGCCGTATTGTGAGTGTTGTTGTGTTGTTTTTCATTTTGAGTAGATATGTTTGTACCTTGTGGGTTGTGTTATGAGCATGGGAATTTTGGTTAAGTTTCGTTGGGGTTTTTTTGAGTTTTGTTCTTTTGCCGTTTTGTGAGTGTGTTGTTGTGTTGTTTTTCATTTTGAGTAGATATGTTTGTACCTTGTGGGTTGTGTTATGGCCATGGGAATTTTGGTTAAGTTTCGTTGGGGGATTTTTGAGTTTGTTCTTTTGCCGTTTTGTGAGTGTGTTGTTGTGTTGTTTTTCATTTTGAGTAGATATGTTTGTACCTTGTGGGTTGTGTTATGGGCACGGGAATTTTGGTTAAGTTTCGTTGGGGTTTTTTGAGTTTTGTTTCTCCGTTGGATGCCCCTAACAAATTTATATATATAGATTTATTTCAGGATTACCATTTGCAACATAGCTTACAAGATATTAAGACGCAACATATCAAAATCATATTATAAAACGGCATCTGACCACCCTCCTGTTTTCTGTGGAAGCTTCTGAGATACATTTATTATTATTGTTTCCAACCTTTGTATCCCCATCCTTCTCAACCCCTGAAGGGACTCAGGGCAGCTTACCATGGCAACAATTCGATGCCAACACATACAGAATACATACACAATACTGTCATGGATGGGCCCTGAGACAGTCATACTGTGTCATCATTTCCAAACATAAACTGTATGCCAGTCTCCCATACTGTTAGATTTCTGTGGCTTTTACCTGAAATAACTGACCATATCATCCTGTTTCTGATTGCAGGTTATCTGCTTAAAACTGGATTGTGTGTCTACACTGCCATATAATCCAGTTTAAAGCAGATAGCATTCAGAAACTGGATTATTTGGCAGTGTAGATGGGACCTAAGGTTTTAAGAGTGTTTCCTGTTTCCTGCACTTTTATTTTACTTTCTTCCTTTTGATTCTCTACATCCCCCAGTAGAATAGGTTTTACTATGGATGTGACTCATAAGTATAGGAAATGTACAGCACCTGACTCTTGCATTTTGTAAAAATACTCATTTTTCAGAGCCAGTGTTGTACTAAAATTTTGAAACACTAGGTTTGAAATTTGCATTGAGTGACCTTGAGCACAATTTCTCAGACTCAAGGGAAAGCCCTCATAAACCTCCTTTGAATAAATCTTGCCAAAAAAAAAACCAACCCACAAGAGTAGACTTAAAGGCACATAACAGCAACACCTGTTTCCTGCACTTTTATTTTACTTTCTTCCTTTTGATTCTCTACATCCCCCAGTAGAATAGGTTTTACTATGGATGTGACTCATAAGTATAGGAAATGTACAGCACATTGCGCTGTCACAAAAGACAACTTGAAACATTTAAGTTCTGATGTTTTTTTCAACTCTCATGGTTAATACATTTTGAGCGAGATGATCTGCCATATGTCAAACCTTGTGGGTAAGGTCCCATTCTAGGGCAGTGGTTCTCAACCTGTGGGTCCCCAGATGTTTTGGTCTACAACTCCCAGAATTCCCAGCCAGGTTACCAGCTGTTGGGATTTCTGGGAGTTGAAGGCCAAAACATCTGGGGACCCACAGATTGAGAACCACTGCTCTAGGGGAAGAGGCAACCACATGCATTTTGCTGTTCCTCCTTGTGTTCCTTCAGGGCACTAGGCACAAAACCCTCCTGGATAAATGGGCTAATTGAGGCCTTGCTGCAAGCAAACCAAGCCAACGTTATTGCTGTTGATTGGGTCCAAGGAGCGACAGCAGCCTATCCAACTGCAGTAGAGAATGTTATGAAGCTGGGGCTGGAAATATCCACTTTCATCCGAAGATTGCTGGTAGGTGGACATAATAGAGAATGGATGGATTTTATTGTAATGGTCACAGACCAGGAATACAAAGCATTAAAGCATTAAAATCTCAGATAGAGATAGATAGATAGATAGATAGATAGATAGATAGATAGATAGATAGATAGACAAATCGAGAGAGAGAGAGAAACATTTTAATGCTCTCTCTCTCTCTCTCTCTCTCTATATATATATATATGTTTAATATCTGCTGTTTAATATCTACATGAAGCCGCTGGGTGAGATCATCCGGAGTTTCGGGGTGCGGTGTCATCTGTACGCAGATGATGTCCAACTCTGTCACTCCTTCCCACCTGATACTAAGGAGGCTGTCGAGGTCCTGAACCGGTGCCTGGCCGCTGTAACGGTCTGGATGAGGGCGAACAAATTGAAATTGAATCCAGACAAGACAGAGGTACTCCTGGTCAATCGCAAGGCCGAACAGGGTATAGGGTTACAGCCTGTGCTGGATGGGGTCGCACTCCCCTTGAAGGCGCAGGTTCGCAGCTTGGGTGTGATCCTGGATTCATCGCTGAGCCTGGAGCCCCAGGTCTTTCGGCGGTGACCAGGGGAGCATTTGCACAGCTTAGGCTCGTGCGCCAGCTGCGCCCGTCCCTCGGGAAGTCTGACTTGGCCACGGTAGTACACGCTCTGGTCACATCCCGCCTTGACTACTGCAACGCTCTCTACGTGGGGCTGCCCTTGAAGACGGCCCGGAAGCTTCAGCTAGTCCAGCGCGCGGCAGCCATGTTACTAACAGGAGCGGGACGCAGGGAGCACACAACGCCCTTGTTGTTCCAGCTCCACTGGCTGCCGATCTGCTACCGGGCCCAATTCAAGGTGCTGGTGCTGGCCTACAAAGCCCTAAACGGTTCCGGCCCAAAATACCTGTCTGACCGCATCTCGGCCTACGAGCCCACGAGGACTTTGAGATCGTCTGGGGAGGCCCTTCTCTCGATCCCGCCTGCCTCACAGGCACGCCTGGCGGGGACGAGGGATAGGGCCTTCTCGGTGGTGGCCCCCCGGCTGTGGAACACCCTCCCTGTAGACATCAGACAGGCGCCCTCCCTTATGACATTCCGCAAGAGCCTAAAGACATGGTTATTTGAGAAGGCGTTTGACTAAGTGCTACAACAATTGGCAATGATGATTGGAACGGAATATGGAAAACGAGATTGGATTGTGATTCTATGATGAGACGTCACGAATGATTTAGTGTAATTGTATTATTGATAGTGATGTTATTATTATTTGTGATATTGCCTTTATTGTAAATTGTTTTTATATGTTGTACACCGCCGTGAGTCGCCCTAGGGCTGAGAACGGCGGTCTACAAGTGCAGTAAATAAATAAATAATAAATAAATATTAGGCTTGGTTGATCCAGTTCATTAATTTCTTATCTCGTTATTAATTCGTTAAATAATTACCTTTAGAAGCGATATCAACGCGTTTTAGAAACCCGGAAGTGTTTTTGCCATATCGAAGCTGCGTCTGCCATCTTCCTTACGGCTTCCGCCAGTGAATCGTAAATGCTGGGGGCATGGCCTTCAGGAAAAGCTGTTCTTACCCACGCCCACCTCCTTCCTCTTTGCATCGGCGGCTTTGCGAGGTGGGCGTGACTACCTCCCTGGCGACAAGCGGCAATGCGGAAGAGATGGCGTAGCCACGCCCACCTCGCAAAGCCGCCGATGCACAGAGGAAGGAGGTGGGCGTGGCCAAGTACAGCCCTCCTTGGAGGTCTCACCCCCAGCAACCTCCGAGGAGCGCTGTGCTTGGCCATGCCCACCTCTCCCTTCGACAGCTTGCCAGGGAAGAGAAAGAAAGGTGAGAGATTTTAAAAGTGTTAGTTGTAAAATCTCCAAGGAGTGCTGTGCTTGGTCGCTGGGGGCGAGGCCTCCAAGGAGGGCTGTGCTTGGCCACGCCCACCTCTCCCTTCTGCATGGAAGCTCGCCGCAAGGGAAGGAAGGGAAACTGCGAGATTTTAATGGTTCTGGAGGGAGGGAAGGGCACCTTCCATTAACGAAACAAAGAACACAATTCGTATTTCCTGGTATTTTCGAACTTTTTTTAAAGAAATTTTTGGAAATAATTTAAAAATCGAACCTCCAGCGCCCCCTACATACAAAACAAGTTTAGAACCTTTTTTTTCTTGATCAACCAAACCTGATATATATACATATATATATATATATATATACACACACACACACACACATATACAAAACATTAAGAGCAATAATTCAAAACATTAAAAGCAGAAAGTTCCCAAAGTGGGGTCATCTGGATCGTCTGTTATAAAATCTGGATAATGTGGCAGTGTAGAAGGAACCTGATATTATATTCCAGTATGAAGGTGGATTAAAACAATCCGGTTTTGTTGTGCTACGCCTACACAAACATCCCAGAAAGTACTATGAGGCAGGGACAGCATCTACCGATTTCTGATGGAAACTGAAACCAAGAATCTCACGTCCCATCTACACTGCCATTATAATGCAGATTGAACTGGATTATATGACAGTGTAGTTTAGTCTGCATTATATAACTTCTCTTCTACACTGCCATACAATCCATATTATCAAATCAGATAATCCACATTATCTGCTTTGAACTGAATTATATACATCTACAATGCCATATACTGTATATACGCGAGTATAATCCTAGTTTTTCAGTCCTTTTTTAGGTTGAAAAAGTCTCCCCCGGCTTATACTTGAGTCAACGTTATTTATTATTTTACTTTGTTGTTGTTATTGTTGTTGTTGTTATTATTTTACATTGTTGTTGTTATTACATTTATTATTTTACTCTACTATTATTATTACATTTATTATTTTACTCTATCTATTATTATTGGAAGGATACATAAGCATATTTACATTGAAGAAGGTTAGAATAATGGTTGAATCAGGGTTGGACAGTCTTCGGTTGAACTACAGTTTTATGTAAATATTCAAAAACATTTAACCAACTGATGCCTCAATTAATGTAATTTTATTGGATATCTATTTTTATTTTGAAATTTACCAGCAGCAGCTGCATTTCCCACCCTCAGCTTATATTCGAGTCAATCCATTTCCCCAGTTTTTTATGGTAAAATTAGGTGCCTCGGCTTATATTCGGGTCGGCTTATATACGGTAATCCAGTTCAGTGCCATATAATCCAGTTCAACACATGGCTAGATAGCAGCCAAACAATGGGGCTGAGATGTGCTGATGCACATATCCCTGTCCATGACAGTGTACAGGAAATGAAGATAAAAGGGCAGAAAGCAAGTGTTCCCATAGAAATGATGTCGATTTCTCTCTTGGGAGAGTAATTGTTTACTTTCTCGTCAGTTTAAAGAAGGTTTTAAGCCCTAAATCAGCTGCAGTGTATTGATATGGTTTACTCTGGACTTTCTGGTGAGTTTTTTGCACATGCTATTTCTGGCTTGTAACATGCGTTTGGAGTGTGTGTTCTGCAGTCATCCCGCTCTCAAGCCTGCTTCAAACTGCATTATCTCCTTTGAATCTTTAGGCTACGGGAGTGCCAGAGACCTCTATCCACCTTATTGGGGTGAGCCTTGGTGCCCACGTTGCAGGCTTGGTGGGTCATTTCTATGATGGGATGTTGGGAAGGATTACTGGTAAGGAAAAAAAAAAAGATCAAAGTGCAGAGAGTTTACCAGACTCCTGACCTTCTAGACATCAGAAACACTAACCTTCCATTATGCCTGGTGTGAGAGATAATTTTTAAAAATTCAAATTTACACCAGTATCATTGTCTGTCTTACTAACAAATCACAGTAGGTTGGCTAAAAAAATACTGTCCATGCTGTTTTATAAGATCAGAATGCCATGTACATGTTCTCTTACTTGTGTGAAGCTTCACAAGACAGGTTTATTCTGGGTTTCAAGTTCCTCAGAATAAAGGCAGATAACCCTAACCCAAACCTTTCTGTCCTATTGAACCTTCCGACTGAGCAGAAGGGGAAGCAGATAGATTATAGTAAGGAAGACAACTTCCGTAAGCCACACTGGTTCCAGAGTTGTGATTTAACTGAGTTGTAACATTGCCAGGGTTTGTGGTAAGACGTAACACTTCAGTGATTAGAAGAAGTGCATCTCAAACCTATTTCCCCTGGAGAAAGACTTTAAATATGTCCAAGTGAGTAGATTATACATTTGTGTAGCCAGCATGGTGTAGTGCTTTGAACATTAGACCATTACTCCAGAGACCAGGTTCAAATCCCTACACAGCCATGAAACCCACTGGGTGGCCTTTGGCAAGTCACAGTCTTTTAGCCTCCAAGAAAAACAATGGCAAATCTTTTCTGAACTACCTTAATCTTGCCAAGAAAACTCCGAAACAGGATCACCTTAGAATCACGAGAAGTCAGAATCACTTGAAGAGATACAACAACATTTAATGTGTGTCCAGAGGAGGGCGACTAAAATGATCAATGGTCTGGAGAACAAGCCCTGTGAGGAGCGGCTTAAGGAGCTGGGCATGTTTAGCCTGAAGAAGAGAAGGCTGAGAGGAGACATGATAGCCATGTATAAATATGTGAGAGGAAGCCACAGGGAGGAGGGAGCAAGCTTGTTTTCTGCTTCCATGGAGACTAGGACAAGGAACAATGGCTTCAAACTACAAGAAAGGAGATTCCATCTGAACATGAGGAAGAACTTCCTGACTGTGAGAGCCGTTCAGCAGTGGAACTCTCTGCCCCGGAGTGTGGTGAAGGCTCTTCTTTGGAAGCTTTTAAACAGAGGCTGGATGGCCATCTGTCAGGGGTGATTTGAATGCAATATTCCTGCTTCTTGGCAGGGGGTTGGACTGGATGGCCCATGAGGTCTCTTCCAACTCTATGATTCTATGATTCTATGCAGGACAAGTTCTCCTCCAAGTTGTGAAAGCCATGTGCCACATCATGTGATTGCCCTTAACTGTATGTCTTGCAGTTTAAATGTTTTATGAGTGGTCATTGGAAGGTAGCACAATGGGTTAAATCCTTGTGCTGACAGGACTGCTGACCGAAAAGTCAGCGGTTTGAATCCAAGGAGCAGGGTGAGCTCCCATCTGACAGCTCCAGATTCTCATGTGGGGACATGAAAGAAGCCTCCCTAAGATTGGTAAAACATCCTGGCATCCCCTGGGCAACATCCTTGCAGACAGCCACTTTTTTTCACACCAAAAGCGACTTGCAATTTCTCAACTCCCTCCTGACACGAAAAAAATTGGAAGATAAATGCAAACTTGATTTCATGTTCTTATCGCTGAAGCTCATAGGAAGTGTCTGATGTGTCAATCGCAGGAAGTGTGCATTCCATTCAACTTCTAATTTGACTCTTACAATACGGAGCAGGACATCATAGGGAAGAGGAAGAGTGTGCAAATCTAAAATTATCTTGTACTATCTCAGACCTTCAATACTCTCTGCATAGTGCAGAGACATTATGGGTGTTAATGGAATGACATGCCTTTTGCTGGTCTTGGGACCTTTACCTTGCCACTTTCTACTTTCTAAAATAATAGCACATTAACATGTTCTAGATGCATTCATTTCTCCAAAATAATTGCAGACATTTTAAGCACATGTATTTAAAGGCACAACTTCTACCATGCGCAGATATCTCTGGGTCTTTATGGAACAAAATTCTTGGTCCCTCTAGGCCCCTTCCACACAGCCCCTATATCCCAGGATCTGATCCCAGTTAATCTTTCTACCCCAGATTTTCTGGCAATAGAGACTCATATAATCCAATTGAAAGCAGATAATGTGGGATCAATGTGTTGTCGAAGGCTTTCATAGCCAGAATCACTGGGTTGCTGTAAGTTTTTTCGGGCTGTATGGCCATGTTCCAGAAGCATTCTCTCCTGACGTTTTGCCTGCATCTATGGCAGGCATCCTCAGAGGTTGTGCGGTCTCTTGGAAACTAGGAAAATGGGGTTTATATATCTGTGGAATGTCCAGGGTGGGAGAAAGAACTCTTGTCTATTGGAGGTAGGTGTGAATGCTTCAATTGGTCACCTTGATTAGCATTTAATGGCCTAGCAGTTTTCAAAGAGTGGCTTCTTACTGCCTAGGGGCATCCTTTGTTGAGAGATTAGCTGTTCCTGATTGTTTCCTGTCTGGAGCTCCCCTGTCTTTATTTACTGTTATGATTTTAGAGAGTTTTTTTAAAAACTGGTAGCCAGATTTTGTTCATTTTCATGGTTTCCTCCTTTTTGTTGAAATTGTCCATATGCTTGTGGATTTCAATGGCTTCTCTGTGTAGTCTGACATGGTGGTTGTGAGAGTGGTCCAGCATTTCTGTGTTCTCAAATAATATGCTGTGTCCAGGTTGGTTCATCAGGTGTCCTGCTATGGCTGATTTCTCTGGTTGATGTAGTCTTCAATGCCTTTCATGTTCCTTGATTCTTGGCCACTAATCAAGGTGGTCAATTGAAACATTCACACTTGCCTCAAACAGACAAGAGTTCTTTCTCCCACCCTGGACTTTCCACAGATATATAAACCCCATTTTCCTAGTTTCCAACAGACCTCACAACCTCTGAGGATGTCTGCCATAGATGCAGGCGAAACATCAGGAGAGAATGCTTCTGCAACATGGCCGTACAGCCCGAAAAACTTACAGCAACCCAATCTGGGATCAGATCCTGGGATGTAAGGCAGTGTAAAAGGGGCCCCAGAAGAATAAAATGTGTAACACCCTTTTGCTCAGCATTCCCCAGCTTTTTCTTGGTGTGCCTTGTTTCCAAAACAAATGTCTAATCTTGCAAAATATTGCAAGGAGAAATACTGCTGTAGTTTGTTTACATTATTTTTCACAATATTCCAGGTCTGGATCCTGCTGGGCCCAAATTTACCCGAGCCAGCCAAGAAGAGCGCCTGGATCCTGGGGATGCTTTATTTGTGGAAGCTATTCACACGGATGCAGACAGTAAGCTGTGTGTGTGTGTGTGTGTGTGGTCTGCCCTGTGCTAAACCTTTACTTGTCCTCCCAATGGTGCAGGAAGACCTTGCTGGTTTTCTACCAACAGCATGGCATGGTATGTCATCCCCTTCTTGGTTTCACATACAGGAAGTCTCTATTACTCTACTACTCTTTTCCACCTAATTCCAAGGAAGCCCCTCGGGTGCTGGACAAGTGCCCGCTGTAGCTGTCTGGATGAGGATGAAAAAGCTGAGGATCAATCCTGACAAGACAGAGGTCCTCCTGGTCAATCGCAAGCCGGATTGGGGTTTAGGGTGGCAACCTGTGCTTGATGGGGTTGCACTCCCCCTGAAGGCTCAGGTCCGCAGTCTGGTTGTCCTCCTGGACTCATCACTTACGCTTGAAGCTCAGGCGTTGGTGGTGGCCAGGAGGGCCTTCGCACAATTAAGACTTGTGTGCCAGCTGCGACCATACCTCGTGAAGTCGGATCTGGCCAGGGTGGTCCATGCCTTAGTCACCTCCAGATTGGATTACTGTAATGCACTCTACGTGGGGCTGCCCTTGAAGATGGCTCGGAAATTTCAGTTGGTACAACGGGGGCAGCCAGGTTACTAACTGAAGCGACTTACAGGGAGTGGTCAACCCCCCTGTTTAAGGAGCTCCATTGGCTGCCGTTCATTTTACGGTCCCAATTCAAGGTGCAGGTTCTTACCTACAAAGCCCTGAACAGTTTGGGACCTGCCTACCTGCGTGACCGCATTTCTTTGTATGAACCCATGTGATCTCTTCGATCATGGAGAGGCCCTGCTTTCACTCCCACCCCCTTTGCAGGCGCGATTGGTGTGGACGAGGGAGAGGGCCTTCTCTGTGGTGGCCCCCGACTCTGGAACTCACTCCCCAAGGATATCAGGCAAGCCCCCACATTGGCAGTCTTTAGGAGGAGCCTGAAAATGTGGCTGTTCCAGTGTGCCTTCTCTGAATAAAGGAACAATCCCTTGCAAAATATCTTGAGTAGCACTTTAATTAAATCAACTCAATGTATATGTTACAAATACACATATCAAAAGAACAGGACTGCCACATTCACATTAAGTAGAAACAACTGGTTCTTCAAGAGAAGAACCAGTTGTTTCTACTTAATGTGAATGTGGCAGTCCTGTTTTTTTGATATGTGTATTTGTAATATATACATTGAGTTAATTTAGTTATTTTCACATTACCACAATCAGTGGATTTTGGTCTCCACAGTTTTAGGGGAACCCATTTTTCTTTTTGGTATTACTCAAGTTTCTAAAATTCCAAGTCACAGTCAGGAAGTTCTTCCATCTGAACATGAGGAAGAACTTCCTGACTGTGAGAGCCGTTCAGCAGTGGAACTCTCTGCCCCGGAGTGTGGTGGAGGCTCCTTCTTTGGAAGCTTTTAAACAGAGGCTGGATGGCCATCTGTCAGGGGTGAATTGAATGCAATATTCCTGCTTCTTGGCAGGGGGTTGGACTGGATGGCCCATGAGGTCTCTTCCAACTCTTTGATTCTATGATTCTATGATTCTATGATTCTATGTTCAGATCCTGATTTATGGCAATCCCATGGCAATTTTCTCATGGGTTTGGGGTTGCTTTTTTGCCAAGTTTTGTTCAGAGGAAGTTTGCCATTGCCTTCCTTTGAGACAGAGAGAGGCTGGATCTACACTGCAGATTATTTTGAACTGGATTATATGGCAATGTAATCTTATACAATGTAATCCAGATCAAAGCAGATAATATGGATTATCTGCTTTGATAATCTAGATTATATAGCAGTGTAGATCCAGCCAGTGTAGACTTACCCAAGGTCACCCAGTGAGTTTCCATGACAGAGTAGGAGATTGAACCCTGGTCTTCTGGAATTCTAGTCCAGCAGTCATACCAGTCCACCCCGTTGGGTCTCTTGAAAACAAATTGCTTATGTAGCTAAACAGTAGAAAGGTAAAGGTTTTCCCCTGACATTAAGTTCAGTCATGTCCGACTCTGGTCATGTCTGACTCTTGGTGCTAATCTCCATTTCTAAGCCAAAGAGCCAGCATTGTCCGTAGACACCTTCAAGGTCATGTGGCCAGCATGACTGCATGGAGCGCCGTTGCCTTGCCGCTGAAGCGGTACCTATTAATCTACTCACATTTGCATGTTTTCGAACTGCTACATTGGTAGAAGCTGGGGCTGGCAGTGGAAGCTCACGCCACTCCCCAGATTTGAATCGGCAACCTTTTGGTCAACAAGTTTAGCAGCTCAGTGGTTTAACACACTGCGCCACCGGGGGTTCCAGCTATACAGAACTGGTGGTATATATTATGCTTTATGGGTGACACATTGCACAATCCCTAACCTCAAGAAGCTCATAATATGAAATATGATATAGGCAAAGGATTCAGTCAAAGGCAGTGAAGTTTGATTATTGTTTGGGGTCCCTTCTACACTACCACATTATTTATTTATTTATTTGCGCCATTTATATGCCACCCTTCTCACCCCTAAGGGGACTCAGAGCAGCTTACAAGACATATATAAATGCAATATATTGTATTATTAGCATAGTACAATATCAGTATTATATATTACTATATTGTACTATACCATTATATTGTAATATTAGTAGTAGTGTTACATGTAATATAAATATATAATATATTATTATTATTATTATTATTATGAGGGGTATTTTTAAAGTAAGGTCCGTTTTGTTGTAGACACTAGTAGTTCACGCGCATACCGCAACGAGCGTGTCGTGTACCGGCATGCCTCGGGAACAACTGTGCTCAGTTTCCGCTCTGTAGCTAACCTGTACGGTTCTGTTCTGTGCTTTAAAAATGTTTAAGACTATCAACTCACCCTCGCATGTGAGGTTCGCTCAGTGATACGGTTTTTGTCAGCAAGGAACCTGCCTGCTGCAGAAATTCATCGACAGATTTGTGAAGTGTACGGTGATACTGTTATGAGTGAAAGCAAAGTGCGTAAGTGGGTACGACAATTCAAAGATGGCCGTGACAACGTCCATGATGAGGACCGCTCCGGTCGCCCTTCTTTGATTACAGTGAACTCTTGGTTATCGGAGCAGGTGGCAAGTTTTTATGAAGAGGGTATTTTAAAATTGGTTCAGAGTGTTTGAACAAACTTGGCAACTATGTCGAAAAATAGAGTGAAAATAAATTTACTTTTTTGAAATAAACTTTCGTTGTGTACTTATGTTCAAATGGACCTTACTTAAAAATACCCCTCATATTATATAATCTTATAAATATTATTTGTATATACAATATTTTATATTATATTAGATTATTAGACTAGCACAGGAGACAAGATGGAACTGTCCCTTGGCCTCCCCTCTCTTCACTCCGGCAGTGTAGACTCAGATAATCCCGTTCAAAGCAGATAATGTGGAATATCTGATTTGGTAATCTGGATTATATGGCAATGTAGATAGGGCTCAAGAGGTCTTTGTGCCGAGAAAGGATTTGAAAGAAGTGGAATTCTAACAATGATCTCTTTTAGATTTTGGCATCCGGATACCTGTGGGACACATTGATTATTATGTCAATGGGGGCAAAGATCAGCCGGGATGTCCTCGTTTCATCTCATCTGGTAAGAATGGTTCAGGATTATTATCAGAAGGTGCTTTTCACTGTCATTTGCTGCTTGCACCCATTTCTTTCCAGTTTTGAAGGACAGAATTAAAATGCAGTAATGTCAAATGAGCATGGCACTTCTGAAAAAAAAGCCTGGTAGCAGAGAAGTCTTTTCCTCTCCACCTTTTGCCTTATCGCAACAAATGTTCACTAGATCCTGGGATTGGGATGCTCTCAAAGAAATCCAAGCTCTCAGCTTGGAAGTAGTGCATTTGGATCATATTTCTCCCCTTAAGGGCCTGGTCTAGGGGATGCTGAGAGATATAATCCTAAAGAGAGTGTGGATATGCTATTCTGTGTGTTGTTTGCTAGGTGGAGTCTTTTTTGCGCATGTGCTATAGCGTCTTTTTTGCTTTTTAAGTCCCTTCCGCTGTTTTTCAGTGTTTTAATGAGTGATGGTCGTTCATTGGCCTGATATGAATTCAATTATTTGATTATAATTGAATTCATATCTTAATTTTTTACTAAGATGAAATTCAAATTATCTTACAATAATTTAAGAAGGATTAAACAAAAATATACATTTTCAAAAATTAAAACAATACTTAAACAGCAATATTATTTTTTAAACATGGTAAAATTTGTTTAAAAGCCATAAAACCATAGGGCCCTTCTACACTGCCATATAAAATCCAGATTATCTGCTTTGAACTAGATTGTATGGCAGTGTATTCCAGCTGAAAGCAGATAATGTGGATTATCTGCTTTGATAATCTGGATTATATGACAGTGTAGAAGGGGCCATTGTTTCTGGCTGAAAATTAGGCCCCTAGGAACACTCTTTGCATGTTTATTTTGTTACTCCAAAGTACCATATATACTCAAGTATAAGCCGACCCGAATATAAGCCGAGGCACCTAATTTTACCACAAAAAACTGAGAAAACGGATTGTCTCGAGTATAAGCCGAGGGTGGGAAATGCAGCCACTACGGGTAAATTGCAAAATAAAAATAGATACCAATTAAATTACATTAATTGAGGAATCAGTAGGTTATATATTTTTGAATATTTACAAAAATGGTAATTTAAGATAAGACCAACTCTGATTAAATGATTATTTACCTTCTTCAATGTAAATGTGCTTACGTATCCTTCCAATAATAATAAAGAGGGTAACATAATAAATGTAATAACATCAATAATAAAAAGAGCAAAATAAGAAATGTAGCAATAACAAGAATTATACAGTAAAATAATAAAATAATAAATGTTTAATAATAGAGTAAAATGGTAAATGTAATAATGCTAAATATAATAAAATAATAAATGAAATAATAATAACAACAACAACAACAGAGTAAAATAATAAATAACCTTGACTCGAGTATAAGCCAAGGGGGACTTTTTCAGCCTAAAAAAGGGCTGAAAAACTAGGCTTATACTCAAGTATATACAGTAACTGTTCTATACGCAAGAATCACTGTCTAAAAGGAGAAATGCTACTCTACCCATTGAGCTGACAGCCATCAGGAACTCCCATGTGTTTGTGGAACTGCCAGCTGGCCTTGATCTTCTATGCTTTTTCCTCCTCTTCCGCAGGCTATCGCTACCTCATCTGTGACCATATGAGAGCCGTGAATCTCTATATAAGTGCCCTGGTGAGCCCCTGCCCCATGATGGCTTTCCCTTGCTCCAGTTATCAGAATTTCTTAGCTGGTGGCTGCTTGGATTGCTTTGATCCTTTCCTCTTGTCCTGTCCCACAATAGGTACGTAGACTTCTGCTTTCAAGTGAACATGTCAGGAACCAAAAATCTAAAATTTAACTGGTCCAACATTCCTAGGGAAAGATTCACAGGATGAAAAGTGAAATCAGGGGGTGCATCTACAGCAGGCGTCCTCAAACTGCAATTCTCAAGCTTTCTGGACCTCCAATTCCCAGAATTCCTGACCATTGAACAAGAGGACCAAGGTTTCTGGGAGTTGGAGGCCAAAACAGCTGGAGGGTCACAGTTTGAGGATGCCTGATTTACAATGCAGAAGTAACACAATTTGAGACCTCTTTTGCTGCCATAGCCCAATGTTGTGGAATCATGGGAGTCATAATTTTACAAGGCCCTTATTCTTCTCTGCCCAAGAGTGCTGATGCCTCAGCAAACTACAAATCGTAGGATTCCCTATCATTGAGGCATGGCACTTAAATAGATGTCAAAATATTTTAATGCTACAGCGTACTTGTAACTCTTAAGATATTATTTTTTTAAAGATATTTTTATTATATTATACACACAGATCAGTAGGCCAAATTCCAAGTGTTACACATATAAAACCTGAATAATTCAACAAATATTAAAGATATTATACTAATTTACACTGGTGTATATTACCTTATATTTTAATGCTACAGTGTACTTGTAACTCTTAAGAAACAGACTGGAAGTTTTGCCGAAATAGTAAATAGATTGAAATGCTGACTTCTGGATCTGTAAAATATTAAAATATCAAAAATCTTGTTTGTGTTTCTTTTCTGTACCATCTGCATTCATCTGTAGAAAAGTCATCTATTATGAAGCATTTACCTACCTAATGTGCCTCATTTCCTGAACATTTTGTCTCGGTCTTGTTTACTATTTTGCATGAACCACTGTTATTTATTCATTCATTTATTTATTTACCATATTTGTATCCCGCCCTTCTCATCCCCGAAGGTGACACTCAGTGGCTTCACATATTGACAGTATATATTTCTACAGTATCAATCATTGAAAATACTTTAGCCATGCTTCCCTCAGGCCCCATTTACATAGCCATATAATCCAATTTCTGAATCCAGATTATCTGCTTTGAACTGGACTATTTTAGTCTACACTGCCATATAATCCACTTTAAAGCAGATAATCTGGATTTTACTTGGCAGTGTAGAAGGGGCTTTACTCTTCTGTGTTGTGTTCTTGACTTAGGACTTCTGGACAATGGAGGAGTTGACATGAAAAAGCTGCCCATGGAGGTAAAAGTCTACTTGGCTACAGCTGCATCTCCACCATACTGTGGTGAGTAGTGAAGCACATCTGGAAAGCTCAGTACTTTTCCTGATATCATCCTAGACCTATAGGATAGAGTTCGGGTTCTCACAGATGCTAATCTCTTTCACAAGTTAACAGAGGCAGGAATCTTATGGGTTAGGTATGTTGGCATGTCTTATATGTCAGTGGACATTATTTAGAAACATTGTGAAAGGAGGTATCTGCTATCTTCTTGTGCAAACACAACTGCAGGCAGAGGGAGGTGCCTGCTAATGGCCAGTGTAAGTGAGAGGATGCTTAGGCAGCATGCAGATGCAATTGAACAGCCAAGGAAAAGGAACAGCTGTTGTGTCTTTGGACCTCTGGTATATATGACAGGATCATCAAGTTTGCAGACAACACCAAATTGGGAGGGATAGCCAATAGTCCAGAGGACAGGAGCAGGATTCAAAACGATCTTGACAGATTAGAGAGATGGGCCAAAACTAACAAAATGAAGGTCAACAGTGACAAATGCAAGATACTCCACTTTGGCAGGAAAAACGAAATGCAAAGATACAGAATGGGGGACGCCTGGCTCGAGAGCAGTACGTGTGAAAAAGATCTTGGAGTCCTCGTGGACAACAAGTTAAACATGAGCCAACAATGTGATGTGGCGGCAAAAAAAGCCAATGGGATTTTGGCCTGCATCAATAGGAGCATAGTGTCTAGATCTAGAAGTAATGCTACCCCACTATTCCGCTTTGGTTAGACCACATCTGGAATATTGTGTCCAATTCTGGGCACCACAATTCAAGAGAGATATTGACAAGCTGGAATGTGTCCAGAGGAGAGCGACTAAAATGATAAAAGGTCTGGAGAACAAGCCCTATGAGGAGAGGCTTAAGGAGCTGGGCATGTTTAGCCTGAAGAAGAGAAGGCTGAGAGGAGATATGATAGCCATGTATAAATATGTGAGAGGAAGCCACAGGGAGGAGGGAGCAAGCTTGTTTTCTGCTTCCCTGGAGACTAGGACGCGGAACAATGGCTTCAAACTACAAGAGAGGAGATTCCATCTGAACATGAGGAAGAACTTCCTGACTGTGAGAGCTGTTCAGCAGTGGAACTCTCTGCCCTGGAGTGTGGTGGAGGCTCCTTCTTTGGAAGCTTTTAAACAGAGGCTGGATGGCCATCTGTCAGGGGTGATTTGAATGCAATATTCCTGGTTCTTGGCAGGGGGTTGGACTGGATGGCCCATGAGGTCTCTTCCAACTCTTTGATTCTATGATTCTATGATTTAAAGTGGTGGCCCATGGGTTGGAGTTGTAAAGGTTCCTGGGGGGGGGGGGGGGGCCAAGAAATAAAGAAACAATTGTAGACAATGGGCACAAAGCCACTAGCATATTTGGAAAGAAAAGTGCTGGCCCCCTTCCCTAGTGCAGCGTTCCTTAAGATTTCTTAAGGAACACTATAACTAGAAAACAGGCAGTTCCCGAGTTACATACATCCAATTTCCAAACAGCAAGACAACAGGAAATAAGAGGAAATCTGCCCCTAGGGAGGGAAATTCACTCCTGGAAGAGTTATCATGTAGTAAGGAGCAAGGTAAGAGTTATCATGTAGTAAGGAGCAATAAACCTCTACAATTAAGGTTTATCACTGATCCTTGTTTTCACAACAACTCAAAATTTTCAAAATCTAGTTTTCACAGGGAGAGAAAGTGAGGTGAAATCTTCTGAACTGGGGCACAGACAACAAAAGATGGATTATAGGATGGATTTTCAGAATAGTTTAAAACAGAACAGAAAAATATACCTAATTATCGTTCCCATACAAAGAAACATTGTAGGGTTTCATTTTGTTTTGTTTTCCTACATGATTTAAAGATCTGACAAGAAATAATGTTACAAGAAAATATACTGTTTTCTATTAGGGTTGAATTGACAGAACATGATTTTTTTTATTGTCTAGTGTACCACAGCCTGGTGGAATTTAACTTACAGGAAATAACAACTTTGGATATAAACATTGAGATAACCTTCCTCAGTAGCAACTCCTCATTTCACACTAGCATCACCATGTGAGTAACAATGGAAACTTTGGTGTGCCTTTGGTTATTTATGCTATTTACGTTCTACACAATGCTAGAAGTAACAGCAGAGGCCCAACTCCAAAGACATTACCGCTGTGGAATGCAGTCTTATGGAGCAGAAATCAGACTTTCTTCTTGCTTGCTCTTTTCTTTTCTTTTCTTTTCCTTTTTTTTTTTTTTTTTTTTTTTTTTGCAAAATGAGGAACTTGGGCCGGTGCTGGGATCATGGGAAAAAAGTATTAATTAATAGTTGTGTGGCCAAATTGAAAATTGAGGAAATTGAAAACTCACTGTAGTCTGACATCATCTGGTATCTTTCTAGTGTACCCCTGCCTCCAAAACCCTATTGCCCATCTACTTCTTCCCTTGTACATATATGGAATCACGTAACCATCATGCTTGCTCTTCTCTACAACGATCAGTTCTGTTATGATTCAGTGAGGTTCAAATTGCTGAAAAAAACTGCATATTTTATCCTGCAAATAAGATCTCTGTACTTAGCCATATCTCTTGGAGCTTTGCAGACCCAAGCAGCAGACCCTGGGCAAAGGCCTGCTGACTCACTCCGTCCCACTGTGCCAGATGGAAAGAGTGACACTGCTGTCCCGTCCTTCCAAAACCTGGAGTAGGAAGAAAAATGGGAACCCCATTGTTGGACAGTTCTGTACAGCCCTACTGCCAGTAGACAACGGGTAAGCAGGAAATACATTTCCTTTTAGCAAGGAAGTTGTACTGAATACAGTAGAAGCTCTTTTTGTTTTTATAGCTGGGAGTCACACAACAAATCACGATTTTAATTGGAGATATTGCATCCTTTCATTTGGGAAATCCCAACCCCCTGAGACGAAACAATACACACATAATCTTATCTAAGTCATAGCTTTGATGTAAATGTTAATTTATTGTCATTTTTGCCCATCCAATCCCAAGGTACCTTACACATAGCAGGATGCAAACTTAAAACCAAGTGACAATGTATACATTGTCACTGCTCTCTTTCTGCTCAACAATGGCTGTGGAACAATGGCTTCAAACTACAAGAAAGGAGATTCCATCTGAACATGAGGAAGAACTTCCTGACTGCGAGAGCCGTTCAGCAGTGGAACTCTCTGCCCTGGAGAGTGGTGGAGGCTCCTTCTTTGAAAGCTTTTAAACAGAGGCTGGAAGGCCATCTGTCAGGGGTGCTTTGAATGCAATATTCCTGATTCTTGGCAGGGGGGTGGACTGGATGGCCCATGAGGTCTCTTCCAACTCTTTGATTCTATGATTCTATGATTCTATATCCATCTACTTAGACTACTGTCTAATAATTAGTAATCCTTGGTAAAGGACATTCAGAAAGTTGTAGTTGACATAACTACAACTTTCCTTCAGTGAAATGTATCTATTTTAGCTAATATCTCTGGGGTTATGTAACTTCTTGCTGGATGAAGAAGAAAGGCAGATATAAGGGTAGATTTTAATAGATAAAAGATTCAGAAGGAGTAGTGATGGAAGTCATCAATGGTGGGTTCACAGGTGTGGAGTTGGAGGGAAGGGTGCTCTAAATGTATAGTTTTCGTTAGTTATTGTATTTTTTGTTTTAGTTTTTTATGTGTTACATGTCCATAATAAAAAATATAGCCCCCATGATGTTTGTCTTGCTCATCTCCCTAATTTAACTCAGAGAGTTAATGCTAGAGAATTTATTTTGGGTAATCCGTCCTCTCCCTTTCATCACTTGGCTATCTCAATATTCCCACCCAAGAGCCTGCACTGGACTGTTAAAGACAATAGTGGCTTTTGTAACTAATAAGCTACTAGGTCTTAAAACTAGGTTAGATTGCAACTCCCAGAATCCACAAGCTAGCATAGCAACTGGAGGATTCTAGAAGTTGTAGTGTCATGAATACTTTTTAAACAAAGGTTCTTTTATTGCATTTTCAGTGAGAGAGTACATCAGAGCAACTTTACATAGAGAAAGAAGGTAGACACACAGGTCATCTAAGCTACATTGGTTAACAAACAAAGGGAAATTATATTTTACTTAGCATTCATACCCATATAACATTCAGTCATCATTATGCATATATTACCATCTCTTTTTCCTTCACCTGGAAAAGAGATCCAAAGCAGGCCAGATTGTGTTCCCAGCAAATTTGCCGTTCTGCAAATACAGCATCTTCCTCTGTCCCTTGGAGAAGATCGGCAGGTGAACCAGACTCTTCAGACTCCACAATTTTGCAATATTAGAAGGTCTCATATAGCAATTTTCTGCTGATGCTGTTCCAAAAAGTTGAAGAAGCTATAAATGAGCAACAGGTGTTTTTCCAACTAAGACATCCTGACTCCATCAGTTCCTGGACAGATGTTGACTTTGTTTCCTTAAGTGATAATTGATTTTGGTTTTTAAGGAGCATTGTTTGCTTCCTGATGTTATGTTGGTTTTTATTCTAGACGTAAGGAGCCACTGTGTTGCGTTCCTTACTTAAAAGAGCCAGTGTCTTTAGTAATGTAAACATGTTGTTTTCCACCACTGAGTTAATTATTGGTTACAGTCCATGAATTTTCACCTTCTTGTAGTTTTCCAGGCTTCAATCTTAGGATGGCATCTCTAGACTGTATAGACCAGGCATGGACAAACTTTGGCCCTCAAGGTGTTTTGGACTTCAACTCCCACAATTCCTAACAGTTGGTAGGACTCAGTTCTTGTGGGTTTTTTCGGGCTATATGGCCATGTTCGGGCTATATGGCCATATACAGTCTCTAGACTGTATAGACCAGGCATGGACAAACTTTGGCCCTCAAGGTGTTTTGGACTTCAACTCCCACAATACACCATGGTAGGACCAAGGTGTATGGTATAGATCATACACCTTTCATACAATTCCATTCAAACTGTACCACATATTTCATAACAGTAGCACTAAAAAGCATTGTCCAAAATCTCTTGGAATTATTCCATCCTACTGTGAGCCTTTGTATTTCTAGGCGCAAAGATTACTGCAGATGCAGACTGTGGCCAGGAAATCAGAAGACACTTACTTCTTGGGAGGAGAGCAATGTCCAGTCTCGATAAAATAGTAAAGAGTAGAGACATCAGACTGGCAACAAAGATCCGCATAGTCAAAGCCATGGTATTCCCTGTGGTAACCTACGGATGTGAGAGCTGGACCTTAGGGAAGGCTGAGCGAAGGAAGATCGATGCTTTTGAGCTGTGGTGTTGGAGGAAAGTTCTGAGAGTGCCTTGGAATGCGAGAAGATCCAACCAGTCCATCCTCCAGGAAATAAAGCCCGACTGCTCACTGGAGGGAAGGATACTAGAGACAAAGTTGAAGTACTTTGGCCACATCATGAGGAGACAGCAAAGCCTAGAGAAGACAATTATGCTGGGGAAAGTGGAAAGCAAAAGGAAGAGGGGCCGACCAAGGGCAAGATGGATGGATGGCATCCTTGAAGTGACTGGACTGACCTTGAAGGAGCTGGGGGTGGTGACGGCCGACAGGGAGCTCTGGCGTGGACTGGTCCATGAGGTCACGAAGAGTCGGAGACGACTGAATGAATGAACAACAACAACACTGTGAGCCTTCCCTTTTGCATACTTCCTTGGGTGGCTGGGCCTTATTCCTTCATTTACCCCTCTGAGGAGGACCCAGATGTGCACTCCCTACAAGCAAACATCCTAGTGAACACAGTAACTGGCTACTCATGGAATGAATGTCCAGTAAAACCATTCTACTGTACATTGGGAAAAGCCTGCGTGTAGAAGGATATAGACTCCACATTGTGGATTCAGGACACTTCGTCTTTAAACACTGCTTTTTGGGAATCTAAAAACAACTCTGAGAGTGAAGTTACATTTAACTGGCAAATAATGTGTCCCCAAAAGTAGCAGGTTAAAAATAGTTAAGGTGGTGTTTTGGGGGTTGTTGGGAAGGACTGGCAGAAAAGTGCACCACCCACCCATCAACAAAATATGATCCAATGCAAAACCCAAAAATTGTCCAGCCAAAAAAACTCCCATGAGTTTAAAAACTGGAACTCACATTTTGTCAACAGTGTGCCTTACCAAGGCCTCTTCTAGACTGCCATATAATCTACAGTATTTTTTTCTAGTTCTGTAAAATTTGTTCAGATGGATTTGTTACCTTCTGGAAACAAACTCCACCAATAGCCTGAATCAGTGTAGTGCCAGAGCGCTTGCATACATGATGAATTTAATAAGACATGACTATTAATATGATTGTATTACTGGTTCTTTTAGCATTTTTTCATTTTAGTCTGTTTCTTTTTCAGGGAGATGTTCTGCCTGCCTGAAACATTGTCTTTGACGGCAAGCACCCTGCTTTCCCATCGCCTTACAGTTGCCTGTGCCTGACAGAGCTCAGGGGATGCAAAAGGCAATAGCAGGTCTCTAAGGGTGGGGAGGACCTTCTAAAATAACAAGGAGTGAAGGTGATGCATAATTTCTTCCATAAGAAAGCAAATGCACATTCATTTCTTCTGTGCCTGCATTTAGCCAAACCTCCTCAGCTTTGCACCTAAGGAAACCACATGTGGAAGATGACTGTGCAGATCTAGAAACATCCTCACAGTTTTGCATTCAGCTATGGCTGTTCCTCTCCAGAGATGTGTTGAAGGAGGGATGGTAGGAGTGGGATTGTAGCCGACACCAGATACCTGATTTCCTTTTCCTGTTTTTGCCTGTCTTTATGCTTCAGTCATAGCACTAATTACTAAAGGACAAAAGACTGGATGAAATGTGTTTTATTTCTTGGATCTGCAGTTTCCCACAAACATAGAGATTAGGAGGAGTAATAACTCTCAGAAAATAAAATTTAAACAAGGCTTAGTATCAGAAGTGCCTGGCTCAATTTTTTTTGATACAAGGTTATATGTGGAGGGGGGTGCTGCTACTGTAGCCATCACTTATCTTGTGGATCCTAGGTCCTTTTCCTTTTCCTACAAGCCATGAGTAGCTGTTTCAACTGGGAAAGGAGATACAGCGGGAAACAGAAACATGTGACATACAGGAAGAAGAGGAGGAACTAGCCCCCCACACACATGCAACATCATTACCCAGCAGATCTGTTTCATCCTCTTCCTCTTGTGTGCTGCGTGTTCCTGTTCCCCCTGTACCTTTTGTCTTTTGTCAAGGCAAAAGACATTTGCAGCACACAGGAATGGAAAGATGAGGTGGATCCACAGGGTAAGTGGCGGCAAAAAAAAAAGCCAATGGGATTTTGGCCTGCATCAATAGGAGCATAGTGTCTAGATCAGCGGTTCTCAACCTGGGGGTCGCGACCCCCAAGGGGGTCGCTGGACCATTTTCGGGGGGTTGCAAAGCCGCCTCGGTTGCCCCCCCCCAAAATGGCTGCCGGCTCCTGTGTGAGCCAAACAGCCGCGGCCATGGAGGAGGCCTTCCCCGCTCGCCTCCTGCGCCCTCCAGCCTGTGAAGGGGCGAGGGTCTCCCAGCCGTCTTTCCCCTGTCCAGGCAGCAAAGAAGGCTCTTCAGAAACTGAAGGTAGGACAAATCTAATCTTTTGTTAATACCTCCCCCAAATCCCTCCAATATTTTCTGTGGGTCATGGAAGTCCTATATGCCAAGTTTTGTTCAATTCTATTGTTGGTGTATTTCAGAATGCTCTTTGGTGCCTGGTGAACTATAATTCACACAATTGCAATTCCCAAATGTTAGGGTCTATTTTTCCCAACCCCTCCAATATTTTCCGTGGGCCATGAAAGTCCTGTATGCCAAGTTTGGTTCAATTCTATTGTTGGTATAGTTCAGAATGCTCTTTGGTGCCTGGTGAACTATAATTCACACAAGTGCAATTCCCAAAAAGTCAGAGCTGAATCGGTTGGCGGTAATTCCAATCCCTTCATCCATTGTCCATACTCCCCCAAACATACTGTTTTTATCATTAATCACTATGCTTTAATTATGTTCAATTTGTAACAATGGAAATATATTCTGCATATCAGATGTTTACATTACAATTAATAACAGTACAGTTATGACGTAGCAACAAAAATATGGTTGGGGGTCACCACAACATGAGGAACTATATTTAGGGGTCATGGCATTAGGAAGGTTGAGAACCACTGGTCTAGATCTAGGGAAGTAACGCTACCCCTCTATTCTGCCTTGGTTAGACCACACCTGAAATATTGTGTCCAATTCTGGGCACCACAATTGAAGAAAGATATTGACAGACTGGAATGTGTCCAGAGGAAGGCAACTAAAATGATCAAGGGTCTGGAGAACAAGCCCTATGAAGAGCAGCTTAAAGAGCTGGGCATGTTTAACCTAAAGAAGAGAAGGCTGAGAGGAGACATGATAGCCATGTATAAATATGTGAGAGGAAGTCACAGGGAGGAGGGAGCAAGCTTGTTTTCTGCTGCCCTGGAGACTAGGACGCGGAACAATGGCTTCAAACTACAAGAGAGGAGAATCCATCAGAACATTAGGAAAATCTTCCTGACTGTGAGAGCCATTCAGCAGTGGAACTCTCTGCCCCGGAGTGTGGTGGATGCTCCTTCTTTGGAGACTTTTAAACAGAGACTGGATGGCCATCTGTCAGGGGTGCTTTGAATGCAATATTCCTGGTTCTTGGCAGGGGGTTGGACTGGATGGCCCATGAGGTCTTTTCCAACTCTATGATTCTATGATTCTAAGTGAAGTGGTGTGTGAAGCCAGCTTCTCCTCTTACCGGCATGTGCCAGGTGTCTGGTTCACCTGGGTAAAGGAAGCGAGATACCAGGCAGAAGAGGAACATGTGGAAAACAGCACAAAGATGAAGAACATGACCTCACAACTTCATCCTTCACCTCCAGAGTGAGGGATACTTCAGATTTCCCAGATACTCTTCCTTTGCCCAGGCAAATTTATGTCATACAGAAAGAGGTAAGAGTTTGGAGCTGGCAGTACAAACTCACAAATGATTAAACCTGGGACTGTGAAATGTGAGAAAGCGAGGGACAATTGATGGTATCAAATGCTACTGAAAGGTCCAGTAGAACTTTATTGATACACTAGCTGTCCCCTGCCATGCGTTGCTGTGGCCCAGTCTGGTGATCTGGAAATTAAAGTAATGAGAAAGTGTTGGTTTCTAATATATGTCATTCCTTTATGCTTGTGAGTAAACAATATTTCTTGTTGTTTCTTTGTCAGTGTTGATGTGGAGAGTGTCTGGTTTGCCTACTCTGGAATATGCAACATATCATAGTCCTTCTTTAAGGGTCTCTTTCAAATCTATGATACTATATCTGTGTGTGTGAGAGAGAATCATATCTATCTATATTTATGATTGGATGGCTCTTTGTCAGGAGGGCTCTGATTACATTTTCTTGCCCTGGTGAAGAGAGTTGGACTGGATGGCCTTAAGTATTTTCTGTTGGTCATGGGGGTTCTGTGTGGGAAGTTTGCCCCATTTCTGTCTTTGTGGGTTTCAGAATGCTCTTTAATTGTAGTGAACTATAAATCCCAATAACTACAAATCCCAAATGTCAAGGTCTATTTCCTCCAAACTCCATCTGTGTTCATATTTAGGCATATGGAATTTTTGTGTCAAGTTTGGTCCAGATCCATCATTGTTTGAGTCCACAGTGCTCTCTGGATGTAGGTGAACTACAACTCCCAAACTCAAGGTCAATGCCCACCAAACCCTTCCAGTGTGTTCTGTTGGTCATGGAAGTCCTGTATGCCATGTTTGGTTCAATTCCATCATTGGTGGAGTTCAGAATGCTCTTTGATTGTAGGTGAACTATAAATCACAGCAACTACAACTCCCAAATGTCAAGGTCTACTTCCCTTAAACTCCATCTGTGTTCATATTTGGGCATATGGAATATTTGTACCAAGTTTGATCCAGATCCATCATTTGAGTCCACAGTGCTCTCTGGATGTGGATGAACTACAATTCCCAAACTCAAGGTCAATGTCCACCAAACCCTTCCAGTTTTTTCTGTTGGTCATGGGATCCCTGTGTGCTAAGTTTGGCCCAATTCCATCATTGGTGGAGTTCAGAATGCTCTTTGATTGTAGGTGAACTATAAATCCCAGCAACGACAATTCCCAAATGACAAAATCAGTTTTTTTGAGTGGAGGACATACATTTGGTTGTTAGGTGTCTTGTGTCCAAATTTGAGGTCAATTCATCCAGTGGATTTTGGGTTCTGATGGTATCACAAACGAACATTACATTTGTATGTATATAGATTCCACCTGCTTGATGCTTGGAATAAGTCATCAGGGTGATCAAAGCTGTTTCCCTCCCAAAACTGGACTGGAAAAAATGCAGGAAAAGTGAGATATAATATTTATTTATTTATTTCAAATGCTTCCTTTATTTAGATAGGAACACAAAACTCCTGCACAGAAGAATTTTGTCCTCACTAATATCCATTTAGTCAGCTCTCTGATGATATTTTTCATTTGCCTTGCAAGGGTGGTCAGGGACATGCAGAAGTCCTGGTTGCTAGTGATGGCCTGTTGCAACCTGAGCCTCTTGTCCCAACTGCAGTGATATGGGCACTCCCCCCCCCCCAATTAATTGACAATGTACTAAAACATTGCCATTATGGACCATTTTTAAAAGGGGGCCACAACTACAATTGAGGAGGCAAACACCTAGTCTGTCAAATGTCCAGGTAGAAGGGAGCTTATAGCAACACTGCTAAGGGGTCCTGGAATCAGTATTACTGGTAAAAAAAATAGTTATTTCTAACATTGATGACATTTCCAGTGGGGCTGGAAACTTCATGTTAATGCAGTAATATAACTGATAGGGACTTACGAGGTAGGCCAAATCATGGTGCCCCAAGTCTCTATGAATGGAGAGCCTCTCATGAAATCCCTAGGTTCCTGCAAGATGTGAAATCTGGTACGACCCCCAAAATCCAAGACAAACTCATGATGGGTGCTGGCTTTCATGAGATCTGAAGATTTTACTGTGGCAAATGTGCAGTGACAGCACTGCTTGACATTTGTAGCTCCTTAACAGATAGATCTCATAGCATTTGGTAAGTACGAGGGGTATTTTTTAAGTAAGGTCCGTTTTGTTGTAGACACATGCGCATACTGCAACGAGCGCATGCGTCGTGTACCGGCATGCCTCGGGAACAACTGTGCTCAGTTTCCACTCTGTAGCTAAGCTGAACGGTTCTGTTCTGTGCTTTAAAAATGTTTAAGACAATCAACTCACCTGCCGCATGTGAGGTTCGCTCAGTGATACGGTTTTTGTCAGCAAGGGACCTGCCTGCTGCAGAAATTCATCGACAGATTTGTGAAGTGTACGGTGATACTGTTATGAGTGAAAGCAAAGTGCGTAAGTGGGTACGACAATTCAAAGATGGCCGTGACAACGTCCATGATGAGGACCGCTCCGGTCGCCCTTCTTTGATTACAGACGATTTGGTGGCTTCAGTTGAAGCGAGGATTCGTGAAGAGGTTATTTTAAAATTGGTTCAGAAGTATGATAAGTGTTTGAACAAACTTGGCAACTATGTCAAAAAACAGAGTGAAGTATGTACTTTCTGAAAATAAATTTACTTTTTTGAAATAAACCTTCGTTGTGTACTTATGTTCAATTCTGGCCCCTTTGCTGTTCAACTTCTATATAAACTCCATAGTGGACCAGCTTCAAAACATGGACTTCCACCCCCCAAAGCTGGCGGGAAGACACATCTCCATCCTGCTTTATGCAGATGATGCTGCTGTACTCTCTAGAACACCCATTGGGCTCAAAAGAGCTTTGAGAGCATTAATACAACATTGCAACACAGATCAGCTCCAACTCAATTACAATAAAACCAAAATCATGGCTTTCGCTAATAGGCCCAGGACTTACTCTT